CGTAACACCAACTTATTGTTTACCTTGTTGTGTTGGAAGTACGTAACACCAACTTATTGTTTACCTTGTTGTGTTGGAAGTAAATAATGTCAGCTTATAGTTTACCGTGTTGTGTTGGAAATAACATCAGTTTATTGTTCATCTTGTTGTATTGGGAGTAAATGACATCAGCTCATTTTTCATCTTGTCGTATTGGCAATAAGTATCATTAACTTATTGTTCACCTTGTTATGTTTAGAGTAAGTAACGTAAGCTTATTGTTCATTTTGTTGTGTTTGGATTAAAAGATACAAGTTTATTGTTCACCTTGCCGTTAGAGTGACATCAGTCTATTGTTCACCTTAACGTGTTTGGAGTAGTTATTATCAGCTTATTGTACGTCTTATCACATTGGGAGTAAGTAGGATATGAAAAGTATAAAATGATATTACAAATTTACCCATATTGATTGTGATTTCAAATTTCTAAAATGTTTGTATTTTGGTAAGTAAGGAAGTAACGGCTGAATTTTTCTACCAATGATGCGAAGGTGTTACAATAGGAATTACAATGTGAAGATGTTGCAATTTTCTTCATAATGTGACGATGAAACAATGTTATCTATAATGAGAACATTTTACAATGTTTTTTATAAAGTGAGGATGTTACAATGTTATTTATAATGAAACGATGCTATGACATTATTTATTTTGGTTGTAATATTATTAGTAGCTCGAAGATGCTACAAAGTTACTTATAATATGAAAATGATTCAATGTTATTTATAAAGTGAAGGTGCAATCCTATGTAAATTTTGCTTGTAGCTTTGTATGTAGGTATGAATATATGACCAGCTAACTCTTCCTACCGTTTTGGAGATAGCAGAGACAAATTTGACAAGGGGACTCAAGGAGGCCTGGATGTATCCTTATCTATATGTCGTAAAGCTCTTACTATGAGATACCAATGAGGGCTAAAATTCTGCCGGATGATCACCCAAGCTTTATGGTGGCCTAAGAGTAGGTTCCAGGGTTGCAGTGTTTAGCTTTGTACGTGTCTGTGTCTAACTATCTCCCCCATAGGTTTGAAGTTAGAGGAATTCGGGAGTTCAGGGTGGTCTGGGGTGTGCGCTTATCTATATGGCTTAACCCCTTACCAAGGAGGTACTAATAAGTGCTGAAACGCGCTCGGAAAGCCACTTAAGTATGGTGGAGGTCTAAGAGTAGGTTTTCAGGGTTGCTGAGCGCGAATCTGACATTGGAGTATGTGTTTCTGGTCCATTCTCGGGACTGCGGGTGTACTAAATTTGAATCTGTGTTCATGCCCTCTATAACAAGATATCAGGACAAAATTTGGCACACGTACTCAGGTACCACGATCAGGTGTCCTAAAGGGGTATGTGTGTTTCGGGTGCGAACCCATCTTTGGGTAATTATAAAAGTAATTATGGATAATGGAGGAGCTTGATCGGTATGTTGGAGCCTCTGCGAATCACGGGAAGTGGGGGCTGTTAAGCTCATAGCGGAGCGCGGGAACTTTGAGTTAGTGTCATTAGTAATATATATACTGTAGGAAAATGATAACTTTAACTACATTGTTACCTGATACGAAAATAATGCATATTTCCGTTATTTTAGCTAAGCCAAGCTATCCAATGATAATGAAAGATGGAAACGTATTGCAAAGCTCTACAACAGTTGGTCCTTTCATCGAAGGAACTACTCTATCACTTGAATGTAGAAGTACTGGTGGAAAACCTGCACCGGAAGTGACGTGGTGGAACGGGAGTGAAAGTCTTCCTTCTAGATTGAGCACTACTGAAGACGATCTAGGAATTAGCAACGTAACATCTTCAACTCGATTTGTTCTTTCCCGAGGAGACTTAGGGGCTAAGCTGAGGTGCAAAGTAAAAAACAATGCAATCACCAAAGAGCTGGTAGCTTGGGTAGAAGTTGATATTCACGGTAAAATTAACTTTATCGAATTAAATAAACATAAAAAGTTGAAAAAAAAAGTGTTACCTAAAAAATAATAACAGAGCTCTGTGACTTGATAGAAAAGTGAGAGGAATAACAAACATTGCGTTATTCGTGGGTATACAACACGTAACAGCACACAGCGTTATTCGTGAGTATACAACACGTAGCAGCACA